ATCCTGGTCTACTGCTCTCCCCACCCTCTCTTGTTTTGGTTCAAAGGAAGAGAACTGAGTCTCATTCAGTTCATTTTGTCTGTACCTTATGTAGGGCTGACATGCCATCATAGTGCCTGTGTATTCTCAGAGCCTACCATGCTGCCCGGTACACAGTAGGCACTCAGTAAATGTTGAATGAATGAATGATTCCTTGTCGTGATGCAGGTTTCTACTCAGGAATTTCAGCACCAGAAAACTGTTGGTTAAGAAATGTCAAACCAAGAAAAGACCCTGAGGTCATTTATTCCCAGTAAGGGCACTCTGATCAGATCTCCCTGGGCAGGGACCCACCACCATCAAAGGTGGGCACCGTTTGGCCAGTGTCCCACACCAAGGCATTTGCAAGGTGGGAGGAGGGTTGGTGGGCCCCCCAGAGGCAGTGGATGAGGGTACAGCCAGAATTTCAGGAATTGAAGGGTTAACAAAACCACACCTCTGGCTGTCTCCACTGGGGAAGCCTGATCAAGTACCCCACTCTGTGGAGTGCCTGTATTGCTCTCCAAGGCCCGGCTCCCAGTCTCCGAAAACCTCAGGCAGGACCCTTCCAGGATTATGCTTTAAAGGGAAATGCAAATCCCTGGAGCAAAAAAACCCTGGAGGCTGCTTTTGCTTGGAAGAAGTAAAAATCGATTGTTTTCGTTAAAGTGATTTTTGTGTGTGTGTGTGTGTGGTACGCGGGCCTCTCACTTCTGTGGCCTCTCCCGTTGCGGAGCACAGGCTCCAGACGCGCAGGCTCAGCGGCCATGGCTCACGGGCCCAGCAGCTCCGTGGCATGTGGGATCTTCCCGGACCGGGGCACGAACCCGTGCCCCCTGCATCGGCAGGCGGACTCTCAACCACTGCGCCACCAGGGAAGCCCGTTAAAGTGATTTTTGGACACCGTCAAAAGCTCTCTCATCTCAGGACACGGGGTGAAGACAGGCTGCCGGTCTCAATTACATAGCCAAGCCAACTTGGGCAGCAGCGGGCCACCTCATCAGGAGCGATGCTGCTCTGCTGCTCTGCCGCTCCCTGCCCTTCCCAGGTCAAACTCCCCCTCCCTAAGCTATCCAAGAGCGGCCTCACCCCATCCAGGCCTGGAGCCGGTCCTCCATGGCCCTGCAGATGCTTGCTCACAAAACTTTCCTCCCCTCTTCCCCACGCCCCACGTGAGCTTCACCCACGGACCGGCTCAGGCAGTCCGCCCAATGGTGATGCCAACCAAAGTCAAATAAAATGAAGAGGGGAAATCTGCTTTGAAGAAGTCTATGCCATATAATACATTCCCAAACTAGATGTGCTGGTCTTATTTAATATTGGGAGTTCTGTATTATCCCTTCCCTCTGTTAACTGAGATAATTGTCAATTTATTTTATTTATAGCATCCATTATGAGCACGGAAATTAATCCTTTAATGGTGAATTTGGGAGCTCAGCTGTCAAGGGGGCACAAGGGAACCCTGGGCTGGGCACAGGTGTCTTTCCCACCAGCAAAGGAGGTGGCAAAGGAAAGCCATCCTCAAGCGTTGATGGCAGCTGGGCTGTTATTGTTCTGTGTGCTTAAGATATTTTGAGAAATTAAATAAATAGGAATAATTGGCTCCAGGAGATCCCTCCCTGGGGGACACCTGAGTAACTAACTCATCAGCGGATCCTGGGAAAGCAGGCAGAGATGGCAACCAGAGCCAGGAAGAGCGAACTCCTTGACTCGGCACATCAGCCCTCGGCCAGTCAGTCAGCCCTGCTCTGCAAAGGAACTCAAGACAGTCTCTCCAGACTGGAAATAGGAAGCAAGGGGAGGTTTGGGCGGGGAGGGTCTGGAGCCTGGAAGAAGTAGGAGTCTGCTGGGAATTGTTGGAAGCAACCAGACAGAACACGGAATGTGGCAGAACACTGGCCCTTGGTATTGCACAGCCACTTGGGGCTCAAATGCCAGTGAAGAGTAAGCAAAAGACAGGCTTTCTGGAGTGGTCGAACAAGCTTACAACTAGCCAGTAAATGAGCTCAGGACAGAAACCAGCCGAGGAGAGGAAAGCTTTCCAGGGTCTGGTGGGTAAGACCTCCAGTAAGGGCAAGAAGACCCCCACAATGCAGCAGAGCACCCCAGTCGGGGGGACCACACACCAGGTGAAGGCTGCCATCCTCTCTCCCTGGGGCCAGGGCTGGGGCAGACCCAAATCTTGGGTCCACCCTAGAGAGAGGACAGGTGGGTCTGGAAGGAACTGAGAACAGTATCAGACCAAGCAAATGGAAAAGGAGCCCCATTCGCATTGACCCACCTATTTAACAGTGTTTTGCCAAACACCTGCTGCGTATAGCCGAGCAGTGAGCCTGGTGATGGTTCCCACTGCCAACTCAGGTCAAAGTCAAAGCAGCCCAATCCAGCATTGGGCGACACCAGCCAGGGTGGAAGGGAAAAAAAAGCCTGCATTCCCGTTACTTGACTGAGGTTAAGGAAGATATAACTAAAAGGCTTCTTTTCTTGTTCTGGCCCGTGAGTCTTCCCTCGCCGAGGCTAGACGTCTTGATGCACGGGGACGGGAAGGGTGAGGAGTCCACAGTGCCCACAGTCAGGGGGAGCGTGCTTCTTCCCATGCAGGTATCCTGCCCTTCCTCGTTGTCTCACTCTCCAGCAGAGTCTTCTTGCTTTGCCCCGCCCGCATTCCCGAAAATAAATGTGAGGCCATGACTGTCCACCCCTGACATTGGACTCGACCTTGATTCTACAGAGTGAAGGCTAAAGGAAATCACTGGTCTCCCCAATGACATTAAAACACTGGATTTTGCCATGAAAGCAGCCATGGATTTCCAAGGCAGAACTTAAACTGGCCAGAAGGAAATGTTTTATTTATAAATTCCCTGTGTGCCTAGTGAGGTGTCTGTAGTACTCACTGCACTGATGCTTTCTTTCTTCAATAGGGATATGACTAGAATAGACTATGACACCCTGAGGCCATAGTAAAAAAAATAACTCTGAAGGGCTGATTTCCACCTACGGGCCCTGATGGTACGGAAACAAGTAGAGGGGGGAACGAGAACAGAAAGGGTCCTGGAGACAGCCAGACTGGTATTTGCAAAGCAGCACCGCCCCTTAGCAGCTATGTGACTACAGGTATTTACTTAACCTCTCTGAGCCTCGCCTGCTGCATCTTCAAAGTTGTATAGAGTTTTTCCTACCTTGCAAGGCTATTGTGAAGACTTAAAGAGATAACATATGCAAAGTGCCCAGCACACTGCTGACACATAGTAGACACACATACGCTGTTATACTAATAAAATGTCATGAGTCCCACCAAGGGGCACTTGCGGGCGCTGGACAGTCAGAGCCATGTCAGAGCGCGGCCATGGAGGTCCTGGCCGTGGGAGCGGTCCCTTTCAGGAAAGCGAAGGGATGGCCAGGTTAGCACAGAAGCAGCAAATGTGCCTCCTTCTCCTGACACGTGGCCAGCTCTCTAGCCCATTTTAATCCCTAAATATTCCACCGTACCAGGAAGCCACATCCGCCCCCTTAGCCAAGAGAGGCAAGGTCAAAGGACCAGACTTTCTTGCCCATCTGGGTGGGAGCAGTTATTTGGAGGCTGCGTGTGTGTTGGAAAGGGAGGAAGGGGCAGGGTGGCCTCTGTCAGACGGACAGAGGTGAATGGAATGCCCGCATCGTGGACAGTGACACCCCGCGCCCTCCCCCTTGCTACTCCCTCCCATGTGGCAGAATGACACATGTAATCATTTGAAAAGGTCCCATCACCTGCTCAGTCATTCCCCACAAGCACATGCAGCGCTATGGAAAAACCGATACCAGTGCCACAGGGTTTCAGCCAGGAAAGAACAAAACCAAATCACCAGGACGCCACGAACCGAACTGTCAAACACCAAATAAAAAGCTTCATGAATTCTCCATCAGCAATATAAGGCTTCCCGGCCTAAGTGAATATAGACCCAGCATACGAATCATGAAGGGGTTCTGCATTAGCCTCAACGAGTTGTAATGGCTGAAGCAGCAACCCCTAAGAAATACACGTCTCCGTAAAGCTGCCTTCATTGGCCCTAATCCCGTTAGGGTGAAGATTGTGATCTGCTTCCTCACCCCCCATCCTCTGATGGAAACCTTCACATCCCAGTACCGCAAATACATTTTGGTGACCTCAGCTGCAGAGGGGACCTCGGGGAGATGGAAGAGACAGTCACCTGGGACCTCGCTGAGCGCCTCTCCCTCCCTCTGATGATATATTGCTGCCACTGTGTCTGACCACATGATCCATTCAGACCACCTCACAATTGCCCAGGAAGGCCAGATCATTCCATCACAGAGTCAGGCTGAGAAAGCAAGACTGCTGTTCCTTCAGTGAGAAAAAAAACAAACCATGTGCCCCACTTTGTAGAAAACCCAAGTTCAGGGTCCCTTAGAGAAAGTCTGTTCAGAGCTACTGAACCCTTGAGCATCTGTGGCAGCAGAGAAGAAAAGTAAGGCAAAAGAGAAAACAGCCTGCAAATACACGACAAAGGAGAAATGCAGGAAGGATCCCAAAAGAGTGTTGTAGGTGTCTTCTGTTAATGGAAATCTGTACCCTCCTGACAACACTCGCTGAACTTCTCACTGTCTTCTTCCTTCCTGCTACGCTGTTTTTCTCCTCAAGGCGGCCCTTGCAAGCACAAGACGCATATAAGCATGCGGCAATCACCACTCACCTCTCCCTCACCACACACACATACACAGAAGGCATGGCTGCAAAAAATAAATGGTGATTTAATTTTCCATGTTTTGTAAAATACATGCCCCCTGCAGAAAGAAAACTCAATTCCGAGACTTCTGTCCTCCCCAAACAAATCATTCACGTGCCTTCCTCTTCTGATGAGGGGCTTCCCTTGCTCCTACAACTTGGAGAAGCGACTCCATCCTCCTCTGCCCAATCCTGATACCATCCAAAGCGTCATCGTCAATCCAACCTCCGCCCTTCTCCAGTCCAACAGAGCAGGACTTACCCCAGTGTGGTCATGGTGACGATGGTGTACCAAAAAGAGGCGGGGATGCTCGTGAACTTGCTGGCGGAGGAGCCCTTCTCGGCATAAAACATCACAGTGGCAAAGATGATGATGGCCATGGTGAGGGAGAAGAGGAGGAAGCCGAGCTCAGAGGCACAGCTCTTCAGGGTGTAGCCCAGGATCCGCAAGCCCTGGGAGTGGCGGGAGAACTTGAAGATCCTGAAGACGCGGAAGACCCGAAGCGTGACGAAGGCGCCCGACACGTCCTCATTGTTGGTCATTACCAGGCCGATGTAGTAGGGCATGATGGCCACCACGTCGATGATGCTCATCACGCTGCGGATGAAGCGGTAGCGGCTGGGCGCCGCGAAGAGCCGGAGGAGGTACTCCACCGTGAAGATCATGACGCAGGCGGTGTCCAGACAAAAGAAGGCCACCGAGTAGCGCTCGCCACACGGCAGCTCCTTGCTCCCAGGCACCGTGCCACACGGCACCGTCTCCACCACGTTGGTGATGACCGAGACGGCAATGAAGAAGCCAGTCACGTAGTAGAAGACCAAGGCCAGTGTGCTGGTGTGCGGGTTCTCGAAGGCCCGCCACATGGTCTGGCGGAAGCTGAGGGAGGGCATGGACTCCTGGTTGTTCTCCGAGTCGTTGTCGTCCATGAGCCGCTCGGCGTTCTCCCTCTTGCGGTCCTTGTACTCCTCGTAACAGCAGTCGCCAATGATCTCGGGCAGGATGCCATAGAAAGCCAGCTCGTCATCGTAGGCGGAGATGCACTCGTAGCGGGGGTAGTGCAGCTTGCCTGTGCGATAGAAGTTGAGGACGCAGCGGAACACTTCTGGGTCCCGGTCGAAGAAGTACTCCTTGGTGTCCTCGTTGAAGAAGAACTCCTTCTCCGTGCTGCCCAGCAGTGTGTCCGGGTAGCGCTCCAGCGTGGTCCGCCACGTCTGGAACCTCCGCCCGCTCACGTTGAGGACGATCAGTTCATCCTGCCGCTTGTTCTTGTCTGCCGGGGCGAGGGGCATGGGGCAGTTGGCCACCGGCATCCACCCGATGGCCGCAGCCCGCGCGAAAGGCAGCCAGGCTGCAACTCCGGCCGCCATGGTGACTCCAGCTCTTGGGTGGCCACTGCTCCGCCACTGCGCACACCAGCTTGAGAGTTAGTTCAGCGACCCCTGGAGACAGGAGGAGAGAGCGGAGAACCAGTGAGTCCCTGATTGGCCCCCCGGGTGGGAAATGGGACACAGGGAAGGGTCATCGGTAAGTGAAAGAGCAAAAGTCTGGAAGGCAAATTAATGGAACTGAAGACACCATCAAAGAGAGGAGACTTGATTCTTTCCCCTCCCTTCGCCGGGAGCGCACCTAGCATCCACCGGGCCCGTGCAGCAGTGTGGGATCACCGGAATTTGTTGGCTGCCTGACAAATTGTCAAGTTCCAAGAGGGCTCAGAAGCATTTGGAGGGAAAGCGTCTTTAGCAGAAAGACCTGGGAAGACGTGGGTAATAATCAGCTCCGAAAGGTTATGGCATTACTACGAATTTAAATTGGGAGAGGGTAAATGAGTTCTCATTAAATGAATTTGAAAGTGGGATAAACATGCTAATTTTTATTTCTCTCTTCACCCACTAGGGTAGTCAGGAATGGCATGTGGATGAGGGAGATCAGGTAAACACATTCTTTCCGCTCTTCACGGGTGAGGAGGCTGGGGTTGCCCAGGTCTGGACAATTCTCTGAGATGGCAGGTGACCACAGTAGACCCAGGATTTGGTGGAGTTCTGTCCCCGAGTCCCATGGAGAAGGCTGACTCTGGTGGAGCGCTACTCTGGGAAATCCAGCAACCTCGTGTCCAATCACGCCCTCAGGGCCATAACAGAAAGATGTGGCAGAGGCTGTGAGGCTGGGGTTCCTCCCCCACCTTGCAAAGGGCTCTTGGATTCTTGGTTCACCTGCCTTTCATGCATTGTCCCTCTCCCTCCCAGAGGAAGCTGATCCACGCTTATTGCCATCTCCAGGCTCCTCGCCTCCCGTCTCCATCTGCCCACCATCCATAACTCCCTCGGGTTATATAACAATACTCTTTCCCAAGCCAGCCTCTTTCACCTGGCCTCTCTCCACCCTCAGAGATTCCTCCAGAGCTGGGCCACCTCGGCCCTTCACTCACCGCTCTCTGAGCCACGCTGAGTACACACTTCCCCGTCACCTGCGTGGATGGAGGGAACAGTGGCGCGGAGAATTATATTTGGCTTTGGGAAACAGATTTACCTACCCAAATCTGGCTTTTTAAAGATGATAGTGAAATGACTCTGCAATCCCAAATGTATACCATCTGTGGGGAGACATGTGGTGACACAGAAACACACGTAACAGCAACGGGAAATTGTTTGGGGTTGACACTCGTTTTCCCAAATCCTAAACTGATCACGCAGAACCAATCCTGACTCAGAATTATTTGGACCCTCTGGAATTCAGCTGGTTTAAAGAAATGAGGCAGAGGGTGAGTCTTGTAATGGGATTTGATCTTCATCTTTCCTTGTAACCCTGCTTGCTTCTCTTGACTCCCAACTCTTCTAGGTTTTCCAGATCTCTACCCCCTCTCATTCCTGAGCCACCACGGACTTTCCCACCTGGATGCCTCTGAAACTGGACAGGTGTCAGCTGAGTCTACCTCCCTGCAAAAAAGCTGCTCTTTACCTTTTGTTCACAGCATCCTTAACCCCGGGCCTGTCGCCTTGGCCACCTTCCTCACTGCTCCACCCAAAGAGTTGCCAGATAATGAGACAGGAGCTCTACTGCCCTCATTAAGGCCTCACTTCCCTCAGGCCTCCTTCCCACTGGCCTGCTGGTCTCTCAACTCCCCCACTCCCCGACCCTGTTTCTCCTGTTCCCAGTAAATCCATTCTGCTCAGGGTAATCTCCCTAAGCAAGATTTCCCCACAGCCTACAAAATCAAGTCCGAACTCTTTGGCGGCATTCTGGCATTTCCATAAACGGATCCTGGTTTATCATTCTAGCCCCATGTCCCATGCACCCACCCTAGACCACAGACGGGCTCATGCACAGCCCTTGTGGGTTCTGTCTGTGGGCACTCTTCCTTTCTGTTGGGAATATCCTTCCCCTTCACCCAGCCCTCCTGTTAGAATCCCACCTGTGCCTCACTCTCTCTGTGATGCACCTTCCTCTCCCCACTCTGAAATTCTCTCCTCCTTTGGGCTCTGGGCACTTTGTTTGCCCCTCTTCCCTAGCACCTATCACCCTCTCGCCTGGATTACAGACACTCTCTGTCTTATTTTATTTATTTATTTATTTTGCGGTACGCGGGCCTCTCACTGCTGTGGCCTCTCCCGTTGCGGAGCACAGGCTCCGGACGCGCAGGCTCAGCGGCCATGGCTCACGGGCCCAGCCGCTCCGCGGCATGTGGGATCTTCCCGGACCGGGGCACGAACCCGTGTCCCCTGCAGCGGCGGGTGGACTCTCAACCACTGCGCCACCAGGGAAGCCCTCTCTGTCTTATTAATCATCACGGCCAACAATAATTGAGCACTGACTCTATGCCAGGCACTGCACTGTCTCCTGTGGATCATCTCATGTAATCCTCACAGCAACCCCAGGAAGAAGTCTGAAATTCAGCAGTCCGCCAGCTGGAAAGGGGCAGAATGGGGATCCCACCCCACGCCACGTGCCCTGAGGTGCTGTGCTACACTGCTTCTCAAGGTCTTCCTGTAAGAAGAATAGCAGTTGATGTTTACCGAGGGCTCACTGCCAGCCAGCCCAGTACTGCATGTTTACACGGATCACCTCAGCCCACCCCCCCAACACCCCTAGGGGGCAGACACCACTGTCGTCCCCATTTTGCAGGTGAGGAAGATGAAGTATGAGGAGGTATAACTGGCTAAAGGATGTAATAATTAGGCAGAGAGATTTAAACCCAGGCAGTTTCAACGTGGAGTTCAAGGGTATAGCCATGTCTCTTCCCTGTTTTCCCCATCCCACACTAAGCTCCTTAAGGGTAAAGGCCATGACACCTCAACACTTACGTGACAACTTAGGAGGTAGTGTAGTCCGTGCTCAACCTACTTCTGGTAGGTGGGAACCCAGATTATATAGATGTAATTTGCAGTCCATCGATTTTACTCCATGCCATGCCTATCAGGGGTTTTCAAGGGTGGGCATTCTCTCTCCAAACACTCAGTAAACTCTGAAGATAGATCTGAATAAAATGAACCCAATTTAAGTGCCTCTGACTCTCTGTGGCTCTCAGTGGAGTTTTCCCAAGGAGCCAATCTCTGCCTCAGTTTCCCCCTCTTCATGCTAAGGAGCATATTCACAGGTCCCTCTGCTTCCTCATAAAGGGAGGTTGATTCAGGTGTCACAGTAGACATCAGGAATGACAATGACATTCCTCTAAATGTTACCACTCAGAGAAGAGTAAAACAGCACAGGCCTGATGAGTTCTTGATTACGGGAACTGAGGAAAGAACAGGGGGATCATTCATCCACGGCAGTGAGTAATCCGCATGCCACTGATGCTGCCGATAGAAGACTTGGGAACACATCCTGTGCATTTTATATCTTTCTTCAGGAAATTTACCCTTATAACTCCCTGTATTTCCTTTAGGTTACTAGGAGAATCTGTAGTCCCTAAGCACACACTTAGCTAGGTTTTCTAAGGGGCAAGGGAAGTTTGGGAAGCAAGACTACAATTTAAACATTGGTGACAAGATAATTCCAATTCAGATTTAGCCAACATTTACTGAGCACTGACCATGCAGTGGGCACCGGTTTAAGCACTTTTACAGCAACAGTTAATTAATCCCCCCCAAATCCTATGACATGGGCATTTATGCTGACAAGTTTTAGAAAAGGAGCTGAGACTCCTTCAAAATGACTATGCTCCATGTATGTGGGAGTTGACGATTTTCCAATAGGCCACCGATCAGCTCACTGCCACATGGCTTTCTTGACCTAGGTGTAGTCAGATACTGATGTTCCTGTGGAAGACAGCAGGATGTATACTCCCCTCACCCTGTCCCCAGGCAGCAGAAAGCATGGGGTCTGGATGCCCTGCACTCCAGTTCCAATTCTCTCCTGAACTCGTGGAAGCAAGCCACCATTACCCTCTGGGCCTCACAACCCTCATCTGTCAAATGAGATAACTGGACAAGAAAGTGACAAGGAGATCTTTAGCTCGAATAATCCTTGATTCTACCGGATCCAGGACATCAAGCCTGTAGTTCAGGTCTCGCTGAGACCTCTCCATGGCAGTCACCCCTGCAAAGCAGGAAGTAGACCATCTGGGTCTGTTGCTGTGGGGACAGAGTTAGTCTGAGCCTCCTTTTAGAGGGCAGTTCTGGGAATGCCTGATGAGGCTAGTGCCCAGAAAAGGGCACACAACCTGCAGTGCTTAGATCTCAAGGCAATCAAAGGCCCAGTTCATCCACAGAACCCCTGGCCACCCCCCTGGAGGGTAAAGAGAGCCAGGCTCCAGACCCTGGGCCCTGGACCTCTGACTCTTAACATTCCCGCTTTATCCCAGAATGGAGCTCAGAAAGGCAGGAACTTGAGGGGTTCCAGTGGCAAAGGGTAAGAGACCACTGAGCCAAGAGGTACCCTGCAGCACCCTGCTTGGGCCAGGGATGCGGCTGTGCACCCTGAGAGTCAGTGCTGTTTCACCCTGACTCCCAAACCTCACTGCCTGCTACCTTCCTCTACCAAGCTGAGCCCCATCACCTTACGCTCTCCACGCTATGCCAATCTCCTCTTCTCCAAGGGCCCTGGGTATTTTACAAACTGCTCTCAGATGAATAATTGAGAGCTGGGGTAGGAGGAACAGTCCCTCTCTATCTATCATAAAAGCCTCTGGTCCCAAGGCCAAACTTTGACGCCATGCATTAATCCAGGACAATCTTCCCAAAGAAGGCCAGGCAAGAGCTAGGCTGTCTCCAGAGCTTCGAGCCCTGTTCCCCTGGTAAAAGGTACCAAAAAGGGAGGAATTACCTTTTCTGTGTGAGTGTGTATGTGTGTGTGTGTGTGTGTGTGTGTGTGTGTGAGTTTTGAAGGGGAGGAAAAGTGTCCCCACCACATACCATGCCTATGGCCATACCAGCCATACCCTCCACACAAACCCTGTCGGCATGACCCGGCTCAAGCAGGGCTTCTCCAAGGCCATCACCACAGCGCTCACCCCCTGATGGGCACCAACACTTCCTGGAGCCGACCTGCGTATGAATTCCTGCAACAGGCACAACCGTGCGGCCCCATTTCCAGCCAATGGCACTGCACAGGCCTCAAATGCCAAGGTTTTACTAGGACGTGGACGCCTTACAAATGAAAAATCTGAAGCTATTTTTGTTTTTGGCAGAAGAGTTTGACAGTGGGAAAGATGGGGGTGGGGGAGGATGGGGAAGAGACATTTAAAACAGGTGAGTGATGAAATGACACAGGGGGAAAAAAAAAAAAACTGGAAAAGGGAAACACATTCGCCTGCTGTAAAACGGCAGCCTGTTAACCAACTTCTCCGGAGGAGGTAGAGGGCAAACGTGGGCAAAGTGACCAGGCAGCCTGTCCTGGGGATTGACACCTAACCTGAGCACAGGCGCAAGGCAACCAAAATGTCATGTCACCAAGGTCTGCCCTTCAGTGACCTCGGCAGAGAGCCGGGTATGGAGAGGCTCTGGAAACTTTTACTTTCCACGATTTTACGACACATCGCTCAGCCCAGAATAGGGCCAGTCTGGGGGAGGAGAAGGTCCTGACAACCCAGGGGGCATTCTCCTGTGCCCACAGGGTTTGCATAAGCAGGCATGAAACTGACAGAGTGGCAAGCTGGGGATCTTGGGGTACAGGCCTGGGACACACACAGAGCTCCTCTTCTCCTGCACTGCCACTCCCAGGCTGGCCAGGGCACTTTCCTGAACTCTTGTTTTTTCCTCCAGCCTCTTCAACAGCGAAAGGGAACAAGCCACTGATCTTTCTTCCTCTGGGGGTCCCTTGTGTACTTGCATTTTATTGCATTCAAGTAGACACAAGGAAAAATAAACACATCTATTCCCACCCCTGTGCCAACATGTCCACATGGGGAAAGATACACATGTTCTGCACTGAATTCATACTGGCCCAGGCTGCCTTTCTACAGACATTTAATATCCAGGTTCCCTTGAAGTAATGGTAAAAAAAGGCGTAAACCTAACCATCGCTGTGAATTCATGCAAAATACACCATGCACCACATAGCAACCAGGTCTTAAATAGATCGCATTGTACCTAGGATCGCGAGAAAGTTCAGGCACCCTCTCCTAAGAAATACAACCGAGCCTTCTCTTTGCTATCAGATTCCAGGTCCGGAACCTCAGCCTGTTGCTGACATATCACGGCTGCCCGGGATAAAAGCAGAACATCTTGGACTCGATTCAAATGTCAACACTAAGCAAGTGCAGGAATTTAGTTGATTCCAGGTAACTTCTCTGCCCAGTCCCTTCAGCGCCTCATCCCCAGTGTAAACATCTCGCAAAGTGAGTCTTTCGGAACGGCCTCCCCCGGGCCGCGTTGGCCCACGGTGTCACTCAGAGACCCTTCCCCGAGCTCGCAGGGTGGAAGCGGCGTCGGACAGGACCAGATGTGCGGGCCCCCAGCCTCTGGTAGGCACACCGACGGATCGCCCGGCTGGAGAACTTTCTGAAGCGCCCCAAACTGCTCCCTGCTTCCACCCTCAGCCATTTCTCTCCTTCTCCCCTCACAAGGAGCGAGGGACCGAGCGAGCCGTCGCCACCTGCCGCCGGATCCAGTGGCGCTGCCTCTGGCACCCCCGAGGGAAGGCAGGCCAATGGAAGGAGGGCAGAGGTTCACAACCCCACCTCCAAACCTCACAGCGCCTAGCTGCCCCGGAGGTGGCTCCGCAGCCCAAGGGAACCGACGCCCCCGGGCCGGCTGCCTGCTCCCCCACGGCGCCAGCCCCACCCCCAATCCTTCCGGCGCCCCAGCGCCCACCCACCCGGGTGCAGGAGTGGGAGGGTGCCGCGTGGGCAGCCGGAGCAACAGGCGTGGGAGCAGCGCTCCTCGCACTTCCTGGCTCCTGAAGGCTCGGTCGCGTCCCTCTTACCTTCGGCGAAGCGAGCCCCGGGCCCCGCACCCCGCGCCTCGCGCGCGTGAGGAAGCTGAGGCCGGGAGCCGGGGGCCGCGGAGGCGCCGAGCACCCAGCAGCGCGGGGAAGCGCCCAGCAGCCGCGGCTCGCGCCGCTCCTCCTCGCCGGCGAAGTCTCTCTCGCTCCCTCCCTGGCTCGGTCCGTTCGTGCGTCTGTCTGTCCGTGGGGCCCTCCCTCCGCCGCTGCCGCCGCCGCTCCAGCCCCGGCTCAGCAGCGCGTTCCCTCCCCGCTTCGCCGCTCCGCTCTCGGGCTCGCGGGCTCGCGGGCTCCCTCGCTCGCGCCCTGCCCCCGCCGCTGCTGGCGCCGCACGGAGAGGAGCCCGGCGGGCCACCGGCTGCCTGGCGAGGTCCCTCTCCCGAAGGGGGAGGCGGTGGGGGCGCGGCGCGGGCGGGGCGGAGAGGAGAGTCCGGGGGAGGCGGCGAGGCTGCGCCCTCGTCTCCCTACCGATTCCCGGCGGCCGAGCGGCTCCAGGCCGGGCTCGAGAGCGCGGGGCCGCCAGGCAGCGGAGGGAGAGATGAGGAGGACCCGGAGGCTCGCCGCGGGAGGGTGCCCAGGGCGAGGGCGTGCTAGGGGGAGTGACTCCCCGTGAGAGGGTGTGTGTGTGTGTGTGTGTGTGTGTAGAGGGGCGCGCGCGTGAGCGAGGGTGGGGGGCAGGGAGACGAGGCAGAGCCTGGTGCGTCTCCCCAGGCCAGTGGAGGAATCCTAGGGTGTGCCTGGAGGTGGTGGAGTGTGCCGACGCGGGTGTGAGCGCGTGTGCCAGCGAGGGTGGGCCGGGGGTGAGCGTGGCAAGGTGAGCGCGGCCTGGGGGTGGGGGCGGAGCGGGGAGTAGGCGTGAGCGTGAGCTCGGGGGCGTGTGTGCTGGGGACCCGGGGAGAGGTGGAAGGGAGCTCCAGTGTGTGCGCGCGTGGGGGGTGTGTGGACCCAGCTGGGTGTCTCTCACCGACTGTCCACGCGACACCAGCACTTGCTTGCGGCCGAGCCCTGCCACCTGGGGAGGTGGAGCCCGACACCGCGCAAGCTTCGTGGCTCGCCGCGGCTCTGAGCTCCGTGGCCGGGGCTGGAGAGGTCTCGGGGTGACACACAATGCCCTTGCCCCATGTAAGAGCCGCTTTCCTTCCAGAGCGCGAGGGGCACGACCCGAAGGTAGGGATTTGCCCTCTTACGCTTCCACGTGTACTCAGTACCCAGACCCCAAAGTCTGGTCTTGGGAGCGTGAACTCTCAACCCAAGTCCGCCCAGTGCCTCGGTCCCTCTCCGAAACCCATGGATTCCCACTGCCCGATGCCTTGGCCCAGGAGGGGGAGCCGGCAGTCGGCACGTGCCCAGAGGGCCGGGCGGATGGAGCCCTGGAGCATCCGGAGAGAGTGGTATACGGCCCAGACTCCTACACTCTCGGCCAATGTGCGCAGAGGGTTCAGTCCCCTCGAACATTGCCAATCCGCGTGGCTCCAGCTTTTCCTGTGTCCGGAATCCAGAGATCTCGGCCTGGGTACCCGGAATCGCCTGGCGCTCCGGAGGCGAGGCGGCTCTGTGCCTCAGCAGGGACCGGAACGCAGGGCTTGAGCGACCACAGTTCTGGGTGTGAGACAGAGACCGAGGGAAAAGCAAAGTGTGCGGTGAAGGGAAGGGTGTTCTTGAAGCGGGCTGGGAAAGAACATCTCCGAGTCCAGACGGGGCTTCTGGCTTGTGAGAACCCTTGGCCCTTTTCTAGATTAAGGGGTGGGGGGTGAGTCCCTGTGGCCTGAGCCCCAGTGGGCCCCTGGCGACTCGGAGCCCCACATTCACCCACTCTCCCCAAAACCCCCTTCAGCTAGTCGTTCTGAAAGGTGTACACTGGCCCTTCAAGAGCTGGGCGTGGGCTCTATTAGCATTTGCCAGAAGTCCCGGAGCGGTGTGGGATTTGCATACTGATTTGCATACAGTAATAATGATTAACAACAGTGCCGCTCCCTGGCAGACAGGGGAAGAATTCAGGGAAGGCCTTGGCACTCCTCCCACCTCCCTCCTCCCATCCCTCGGGGAAGAGCTAATTTTCTCACAACTGCTCTGACCCCTGGGAGTTCCCCAGACTCTGGGTGAGCAGGTCCACGGAAGGGCAGGTTCCTTCAGTCCAACACCCCCATGTCCAACTTGGGAGAGTTAAAACCTGGTACTTTATTTCTGCCCAGGTTTGAACTCTTGTGCGTTCCCATCTTTGTTTTGCATCTTGCGGGTAGCTCAAGGGCTGAGTCTGCCCCAAAGCTTGGAGGTTTCCAGGAACAGTTAGATTGGGGGCATCGTCCTCCTCCAGAGAGGTATACTTACAGGACAATTGTGCTCTCTCCTGTGCCTGGTCAGCCCTGTTTGAAGACAGGGCATTGATTCAGAATCCCCCCTCCCCCTCCCCCTCCCCCAACACAAACACACCTGGCCCCATTCCTCCCAGGCTCACATCTCATCATTTAAGTAAAGTAGCTATAGACTATACTCTCCTTTCTGTTGAGAAGATCTAGAAGGAAAATATGAAAGACTTAAATTTCTAGTCTAGGCCAGTGTGGTTTTTATTTACCATCTCTTCTCACAACCAGGTGACCTGGAAAATAAGAGAGAGCAAGTGATGGGCAGAAGGGAGGCCCCTTGACTCTGGCGGCTGAAGGAGCCACTGCCTGGAGATGCTGCCCTCCCATGGGCTCCCTGCCCTCCAATGCATCTTTCCAGCATCGCCTTTCCCCTCTCTGCCTCTGGCCCGGCCTGGCCAGGATTCTCAACTGCTTTTCCCCCATGACACGGCCGCTTTTCCTTTAACTCTCAGCTTCTATTTAAAAAGCTAATTTGGGAGCTTGTCGATGCTCCCAATTCAGATATTTTAAATAGGAACTGAAAGTTAGGAGCTGCCAGGGCACTAGAATTCCTTCCCTTGCACCGGTACAGCTAAGGCATTTGTTCAGTCGATCTGCTGGCCCTGGCCGTGTGTGTGTTGGAGAGAGAGAGAGCGAGAGAGAGAGAAAGAGAGAGAGAGGAGAGAGCGCACACGTGAGCTCAGGGTGTATTTCAGGCTATCTTTTCTATTTAAAGATGGTGCTCCTATGGATGACTGTGCTCTGCGTGTGTGTCCTTTCCAAGCTGTGCACACATGAGGATTCTTCTTTAGTCCCGTGGCTCTGGCCGCTATTTGCAGAGCTTGTCACCGTGTGGACTGTGGGGGTAAGAGGTAGCCCAATGTCAAGTCCGCAGCCTCCAAGTTTGCTGACTTGCTGGGGCTGGTGTGTCTGTTCGGGGATTTCCCAGGGCTGCTCCGCTCAGGCTCGCTCTTAGAAGCTATGCCCCAGAGTGTCCATAAGGGTTGCTCCTACCCTCACTGCTTGTGGCTAGACTACTTCACCAATTTGCCCCATGATGAGGCAGGAATTTGGAGGGTGGGACTGCACCTCTGAGGGTTGCCGGCTTTCTATATTCAGGGTGCTGTGGATCTTGGAGGTAAAAAACAGACTTTGAAGTCAGACTGCCTGGGTTTGAACCTGCCTCTGTTATTTACTAGCTGTGTGATCTTGGGGAAGCTACTTAACCTCTCTGTGCCTTGATTTCCTCATCTCTAAAATAGCAATAAATAGTACTATCTACATTATAGGGTCTGGTGAAGGTAAATAATTATCACGGGTAAAGCACTTAGAACGGTGCCCAGAACATAGGAAGTACAATATAACTGTTGGTTGTTGTTGCTGTTTAAGGCAGGAGTGGTGCCAACAGGAAGTGTGAAGAAATCTGCCTGGAGGGGAAGGTAGAACTGCTGGACCGGACACACAGACACAGGAAGACACACACCTCCGTGCATATAATAATAACGATGCCAGGCCACAGCCCAGGATGGGTCAAGTTCACCTGGTTGAGGTAGTTGATTCCCAGCCCCAAAGAGGGAGACCTCTGATGAGGGATAGAGGAAGAACCACAGGAATGGGAATAAGGAAGGGGCTGGATCATGTCAGAAGCCCATGGGGCATTTCCCGGGGGAAATTTTATGCTAGAGAAGTAAGTAAGGACCCTAGATACCCATATGGATGCAGCCTCCCTTATTTACCTAACTATGTAAAGCAAGGCTTTATGAAAGCAGAGCTGCAGTGGGGGACTTAGTAGGGGCGACCCTTCATTCTGAGTCTCCCTTGGGCTTGGGGTCCTCTGGCTTTGATTCTGCCATTGCCTCCTACCCCTTATTACCACAGCTGGGCATATGAGCATTTACTCAGTGGCCATCAGAGTTTATTTTGCCTCAGTCCCTGAGCAGCTAATCAAGGTACAGAGAGGTTAAGTGGCTTCCTCAAGGTCCCACAGCTGGGGATTCAGGAAGCCACTAACAGGAGAGGTAGTTCTAAAGGACCAAGCATAGGAAGGCTGTCCAAGGGATCCAAAGCAGCATTGCAAGTCCTTGGATTGTATCAGGCTTAACATATCAGCCTTAAGTTGAGGAGCCGCCATATTCTGGACTCCTTGCTAGTTCTCCAATAATCCGGTACCATAGATATTATCGCCGTTTTATAGATGGGAAAACTGAAGGTGCTTGATGCATCTCAGGCCGCACACCTAGCGTGAAGCTCTGAACCCTCCCTCTTGCCACTCCCCAGACTGCTGCATTTTTGCTCTTCTGAGAGCAGAGTGGCCCCCTCAGTCAGATAGAGGGTCTGCCTCAAGAGGACGCCCTTGACCCGGCTCTGTTGGCCTCTTCCATTGTCTCCTTTGTAGGTTGGGTATGGGGTAGGGGCTCAGTGTGTCCAGGCTAGGGTTGTACCCTCTGAGTTTTCTTCAGGGTGAAATCTTCCTGAGGAATGCCTAAGGCTGGTGATGCCTTGGCTTTCTCTCATTTTTAAAGATGAGGTGTGTGGTGGTGGCATAAAGGAGTTTTGCCCAGTTTCAGAACGCCAGGGCTTCACCTGTGGGTATCAGCCCAGATTGCCCAGCTTGGCCAGGCCAGGATGTACTGTCAACACTGGTGGGCCTGATGGCTGAACTCCTACAACCATCGATGCTTCTGGTCCTTCCTGAGGGAGTAGAGGAGGCCTCGCTCCCTGCAGCACTAACCCCATTTGGGAGGCCAGCAGTTGCCTGGGTGGCCATCGCATTAGCCAAGATGCCTAGACCAGTGACGGCAAATGAGAAGTCGTCAAAGTTGGCTCGACAAGTCAGTCCTTCCAGGGGACCAGCTCCAACCCAGGCAGATCGTGGTGGGGCATAGCCCAGCGGGGAGGGCTTCTGCTCATCAGGACCTCCCTCAGAGGGAGATGCTAGGCGAAGGAA